CTCATTGCTAGTCTGGGATCACACATAGTAAAAGAATGGGCAGGGCTTTAAAAATATATGCAGGGGCATGTCTAGCAGCTTGTGATCTCAAATGATGGTGTGAGTGCAGAGCAACATAGAAAAGCATAGTAGAGACAGGATTGTATGGCCTAGTACATTATACGCAGGGTGCCCAAATGCTTTTTAAGCATTAAAATTTTGCTTTGCAGTGCTGCAAAGCCTTAAATTGTTTTGTATTTTGACATTTTGCTTTGCAGTTTCTTAAAGAAAGATTAAAGGACAATTTCTCTATAATTTTGTGAACTTGAAATGATCAATTTCGCGGCCAAACCAAGTTTGTTAAACTTCTTTCAGGTTCATTTCCAGTCTGGAGTGACTTCTAATACAGGAATTGGCAGGGCTTAACTAAACGTGTACAAGAGACCTTCTGATTCTAGCAGTTTGTGATCTCCAGTGATGACATGAGCACAGCGCAAGCATAGCAGAGACAGGATTGTCTAGCTTAGTACATGAAATAGTAGAGTAAAGAGTAGTGGTTATTGATTCATACTCTGAATGGTCTAGGGTCATCAGTGGGGTACCCCAAGGTTCAGTGTTGGGACCCTTACGTTTTAATATATTTATAGACGATATAGGGACTGAGATTAAAAATCTCAAGCTCAATAATGGCATGCAATGCCATTCTTGTATTAAAAGAGGTATAGACTCCAGAGAGAGATATATAATTTCCCCCGGTACAAATCATTAGTAATACCTCATCAGGAATATGCAGTTCAGTTTTGGGCACCAATTCACAAAAAGAAACATTGGGGAACTGGAGAAAGTACAGAGAAGGGCAACCAAACTGATACGAGGCATGGAGGAGATCAGATATGAGGAAAGATTAGTGGAACTGAATTTATTCTCTATTGAGAAGAGGAGATTAAGGGGGGATATGATCACCATGTATAATACATAAGGGGGGGATATGATCACCATGTATAATACATAAGGGGGATATGATCACCATGTATAATACATAAGGGGGGATATGATCTCCATGTATAATACATAAGGGGGATATGATCTCCATGTATAATACATAAGGGGGGATATGATCTCCATGTATAATACATAAGGGGGATATGATCACCATGTATAATACATAAGGGGGGATATGATCTCCATGTATAATACATAAGGGGGATATGATCTCCATGTATAATACATAAGGGGGGATATGATCTCCATGTACAATACATAAGCGGGGATATGATCACCATGTATAATACATAAGGGGGGATATGATCTCCATGTATAATACATAAGGGGGGACATGATCACCATGTATAATACATAAGGGGGATATGATCTCCATGTATAATACATAAGAGGGGATATGATCTCCATGTATAATACATAAGGGGGGATATGATCACCATGTATATAATACATAAGGGGGATATGATCACCATGTATAATACATAAGGGGGGATATGATCTCCATGTATAATACATAAGGGGGGTATGATGATCTCCATGTATAATACATAAGGGGGGGGGGTATGGTCTCCATGTATAATACATAAGGGGGGATATGATCTCCATGTATAATACATAAGGGGATATGATCTCCATGTATAATACATAAGGGGGGATATGATCTCCATGTACAATACATAAGGGGGGATATGATCACCATGTATAATACATAAGGGGGGATATGATCTCTATGTATAATACATAAGGGGGGACATGATCACCATGTATAATACATAAGGGGGATATGATCTCCATGTACAATACGTAAGGGGGGGATATGATCTCCATGTATAATACATAAGGGGGGATATAATCTCCATGTATAATACATAAGAGGGGATATGATCTCCATGTATAATACATAAGGGGGATATGATCACCATGTATAATACATAAGGGGGATATGATCACCATGTATAATACATAAGGGGGGATATGATCTCCATGTATAATACATAAGGGGGGTATGATCTCCATGTATAATACATAAGGGGGGGATATGATCTCCATGTATAATACATAAGGGGGGATATGATCTCCATGTATAATACATAAGGGGGGATATGATCTCCATGTATAATACATAAGGGGGGATATATGATCTCCATGTATAATACATAAGGGGGGATATGATCTCCATGTATAAATACATAAGGGGGATATGATATCCATGTATAATACATAAGGGGGGATATATATCTCCATGTATAATACATAAGGGGGATTTTATCTCCATGTATAATACATAAGGGGGATATGATCTCCATGTATAATACATAAGGGGGGATATGATCTCCATGTATAATACATAAGGGGGGATATGATCTCCATGTATAATACATAAGGGGGGTATGATAACCATGTATAATACATAAGGGGGATATGATCTCCATGTATAATACATAAGGGGGGATATGATCTCCATGTATAAATACATAAGGGGGGTATGATCACCATGTATAATACATAAGGGGGATATGATCTCCATGTATAATACATAAGGGGGGATATGATCTCCATGTATAATACATAAGGGGGGATATTATCACCATGTATAATACATAAGGGGGATATGATCTCCATGTATAATACATACGGGGGATTTGATCTCCATGTATAATACATAAGGGGGGATATGATCTCCATGTATAATACATAAGGGGGGATATGATCTCCATGTATAATACATAAGGGGGGGATATGATCTCCATGTATAAATACATAAGGGGGGGATATAATCTCCATCCATGTATAATACATAAGGGGGATATGATCTCCATGTATAATACATAAGGGGGATATGATCTCCATGTATAATACATAAGGGGGGGGTATGATCACCATGTATAATACATAAGGGGGGATATGATCTCCATGTATAATACATAGGGGGGATATGATCTCCATGTATAATACATAAGGGGGGATATGATCTCCATGTATAATACATAAGGGGGGATATGATCTCCATGTATAATACATAAGGGGGGATATGATCTCCATGTATAATACATAAGGGGGGGATATGATCTCCATGTATAATACATAAGGGGGATATGATCTCCATGTATAATACATAAGGGGGATATGATCTCCATGTATAATACATAAGGGGGGATATGATCTCCATGTATAATACATAAGGGGGATATGATCTCCATGTATAATACATAAGGGGGGATATGATCTCCATGTATAATACATAAGGGGGATATGATCTCCATGTATAATACATAAGGGGGGATATGATCTCCATGTATAAATACATCAGTGGTTCATATAGTGAACTTGGTGTAGAGTTATTCACCCTGAGGTCATCACAGAGGACAAGGGGGCACTCTTTACGTCTGGAGGAAAAGAAATGTAATCACCAAACACGGAAAGGTTTCTTCACAGTGAGAGCTGTGAAAATGTGGAATAGACTCCCTCAAGAGTTGGTTCTGGCCAGCTCAGTGGATTGCTGTAGGAAAGTCCTGGATTCTTTCTTGGATACACAGAATATAACTGCATACTAACATTTATAGGTAAAGTTGATCCAGGGAATATCCGATTGCCTCTCGGGGGATCAGGAAGGAATGTTTTTCCCAGCAGGAGCAAATTGGATCATGCTTTGCTGGGTTTTTTTTGCCTTCCTCTGGATCAACTGTGGGTGTAGGAATATAACTTTTTTTTTTTTTCTATGGTTGAACTGGATGGACTTTTGTCTTTTTTCAGACAGACTAACTATGTAACTATGTACATTACGATTGACTAAGAACTATATTCATTTTTCTGACTTTCTCTAGGCCTTGACCTGGAAGAGGTATGCATACCAGGATGTCTGAGTTCATGATTGTTTCGGGTTAGCACTGAAACAAAAAATAAAAAATATACGCAAGCTTTTTCTTCCATTCTTGGTGGAGTCTGTTAATAATGACTTCAATCATGCCACCCTCTTCTCTTCTCTTCTCTCCTCCAGGTTTTTTTGTACTTTTTAATTATTTCAGGATTTCGGAGCTGTTATTTTAAAAGGAGCGATCATCCATCTATTTTTAAAATATTCCACGTTCCCTTTTCGCCGAACGGTGGGTGATCTTTGCACTCCACTGATTAGCACCTAAGGGGTTAACAGGCAGTTTTACGTTGCCTCTCGCAAAAGGCGAAAAGCGGAGGTAATTTTTTCCTAAGGAAAGCAATGCATTTCGAATCTCCTGTGATGAATATGGCCCAGAATAGAGTATTTATTGATGCTATTACTCGCTCAGGTTTTTGCACAGGAGGCTTGTATGCAAATTCAGGTGATTAGGAATTTGGCTCTTGGTTAACAAGGTTCCTGGGAAAGAGGGGAAAAAAAAACTATTATTTTAAAACTAGAGGCCTTGCCTCTCACTCAAGATTGATTCTGATTTCGCAGATCTATTACCAAGTGGAATAATGATCTCTGCAAATGCAAAACTGCCCAGCTGACAGTAAGACACATTAGTAAAAAATGAATTTAATATGTATATTTTTTTTTTTTGTTAGATCAGAATGTTATAATGTTCTCCACACACTGTGTTAACACATACAAGAGTCCTGTAACAGTAAGTTTTTTTTTTTGGAGTGTTAAAGTGGGCCAAGCTTTAGTTAGCATGGCCCCTTTTAAAATTGAATTGGTTGTGTTTGATGGTGGTACTAACCACCAATGGAGAATCTTTTTTTTTTTTTTTGGAGGAGGGGGGAATGTGGCTTAGCCACCTATTTTTTCCACCCACCAACCTGTAAACTAGGCTTCACAATGTTGTAGACTGATCACTAGGTGAGAGGGCAAGTGTTTTCTCCTGCCTGCAGCAGACCAGTATCATCCCAGTGAGGGCAAAGTCACTTGTTTTGAGCACAAACATTGCTTTTTAATAATAATAGGTGGAGATTTTTGAAAGATTATACATTTGCTGTATATTGTGACATATTAGAAATGTATTCATGCAGACTTGTAGGGTTACTCAAAGGTCCATTCTCAGATCTTAACCTCCCTGGCGGTATTCCCGAGTTTAGCTCGGGGTAAAGTTTCAGTACCACAAGTGGTAACCCCGAGCTACACTCGGGAATACACTGCAGCGTTGCTCTGGGATCCCTCGCTCACTTACCTTGTCCTGCGCTCTCGCGATGTCCCTCCTGCAGTGTCCCCGGCCGGCGGATGCCGGCATCTGTCTTCTGGGTTCTGTCCCCTGCGAGCGTCGGGACGTACGAGGGACGGAACGGCAGGAAATTTGAAAATGACAAAAAGTGACATTCGCTAAATTAAAATCACATAGTATAACATTCCTGTATCAAACCATTTCACATACATTTTGTCCCGAGTGCTTTGTCCGGCGCCCTGCCTGCATTTTTACTGTTCTTTCTGCCTGGAAACTGAGAAACGTCCATGGCGTCCAAAAAGCGTCCCTTTAGGTCAAAAGCGGATTTAGACCGGCTAGAGAACAGCGATAGTAAATCAGAACCACTTGCAGAATTGAGTGATAATGATTTGTGGGGGAAATTCCTCATCAGACACTGAAAACGATTTTGCGACTGAGCTCAGCGATGTGCGAACTTGGCGCAATATTTCAAATTTCAGTGTTTTTGGTTTGATTATATTATTGAATTCAATGTATTATTATTATATTATTATTTTTTATGATTATTTATTAAATTATAATTTATAATTTCGTGTTTCAAGTTTTAGCCTACCCGGGATGTTTACTAGACTCTTGTTCGGACAGATTTCAGTGAGTTATTCCTAAAAATTACAGGCCTACAATAAAAAAAATACATATTTCCATGCAAAAAAAATGTACCTGCTTTCAGCACAGAAATATGGACATAATCAGACTGCTAGGGAGGTTAAAGTGGTTGTAAAGGCTGAAGGTTTTTTATCTTCATGCATTATATGCATGAAGGTAAAAAAAACCTGTTTGCAGCATACCCCCCAGGCCTCTCAATGCTTACATCATCGCGATCCAGCGATGTGAATGACATCCTTGGCTGCCCCGGGTCTCTCCTCATTGCCTGAGATAGCAAGCAGGAATCATTGGCTCCCGCTGCTGTCAATCACAGACAGTCAGCCAATGAGGAGAGAGAGGGGGCACGGTCAAGCCATGGCTCCATGTGTGAATGGACACACGGAGCAGTGGGTGCCCCCATAGCAAGCTGCTTGCTGTGGGGGCACCCAACAGACAGGAGGAGCCAGGAGAGCCTGCAGAGGACCCGAAAGGAGGAGGATTCAGGCTGCTCTGTGCAAAACCAGTGCACACAGTAGGTAAGTATAGATCAGGGGCGGACTGACCATTTGTAAACTGCCCGAGGGGCCCGGGGTAAGAAGGGGGGCCCATGAGATGCCCCTGGTACCTTTTTCATAGGCCTTTTTGAGTTTGGTCAAGGACACAGGGGCCCCATGATCCTCTATTGCCCGGGGGGCCCCATGAGTTCGTTGTTTTAGACTGATCACTGGGTGAGAGGGAACTGAGGAAATGTTTTCTCCCACCTGCAGTAGACTGATATCATCCCAGTAAGGGCAAAGTCACTTGTCTTGAGCCCAAGCATTGCTTTTTATTAATAATAATAATAGGTAAAGATCTTTTGAAAAATTTTACATCTACTGTATATTGTGACATATAATTAAAGCGGAGTTCCACTCACTCTGTAAAAAAAAAAAGTCAGCAGCTACAAACACAGGCACTCACTTACAGGGGCAGACTGACAACTCATGGGGCCCCCGGGCAATAGGGGATCATGGGACCCCTGTGTCCTTGCCCAAGCTCAAAAAAGCCTATGAAAAAGGTACCAGGGGCATCTCATGGGGCCCCCTACTGACCCCGGCCCTCGGGCAGTGCCCGAGTTTCCAAATGGTAAGTCCGCCCCTGCTCACTTGTCTCTCGATCCCGCGTTGCCCCCGCCGCAGCCCATTTCACCGGCCATCCTGTATTCCAGGTGTTGGCATCTTCAGTGTGGGCACCCAGCTGTGACAGCTTGTGGCTTCAGAGCTGGGTGCCCACTGCGCATGCGCGAGTAGCGCTGCGTTTCCTGAATGGCCCCATCGTCTTCTGGGACCTGTCACGTGTCCCACAAGACTTCGGGGAGGGAGGGTAGGAGGACAACTTCCATTTTCGATCGCCTAGGCAATCGCAGTGGAAGTGGGATTAGCGGAAGTACCCATTCCCCTCCCCTGCCCCCCAAAGGTGCCAATCCTTAATGGGGAGCGGGGGACCAATCTTTAAAGCAGAACTTCCCCTTTTGGGTGGAACTCCGCTTTAATATATTTATTCAGATTTTTAGGGTTACTCAAAGGTCCATTCTAAGATCTTAAGTTCTGGGCTAAGTCCTGGAGCTCAGAGGCTTTCTAGAGATTTGACTGACTGTCCTCTGTATTGGGTATCTGGAAGCCAACTTGGAGGAGCCAGTGTCTGACTGTACATTGAATGAACAAAGTTTGGTCTGAACCAGGAGTTCACCCCTATGCAGGACCAGCTTGGACTGTTTCTTGGTGTCCTGCTCTCACGCATTGTCTACTGCTGCGTCTACTAGTTGAGCCTATCCCCCTTACAAGATATATATATTAAGCAACAATATTTCCTCAGTATGTATGTGGGTTTGTTCCTGTCTTAATAATGCTACATGATGATTGTGCTTTCTTGTCTTCTTTCTATCGGGGTCTGGCTTTTGATGATGATTTGGCTTGGGGACTGCTTGTCTTTGAAACAATCACTGCTACATAAAAGGAGAAGTAGGGCCAAAGCTCTGTAGTGTACATTTAAATCTTGGATGGTGTATGTAGGGGTTAGTATTCTCGAGTAGCCCCTAAGGTGCAAGTGCATGGGACGTACTCTTATCAATTGACATTAGTCAGCATAAAAATTTTAGCATGCAGTTCACACTGCTCTTTTTTCAGGAGGGATTCAAGGCAACAGGTAAATATTTTAGGTATTATTATTACTATACAGGATTTATATAGCGTCAACAGTTTGCTCAGAGCTTTACAATATAACAGGAGACAATACAGCAACAATACAGTTCAATACAAGAGGGTTAGGAGGGCCCTGCCCTTGGAGCTTACAATCTAAGAGGGAGGGGCTAGTGGTACAAAAGGTAATAACTGTGGGGGATGGACTGGTAGGAGGAATAGAAGATTCCATTATTAGCTGAGGGCAGGATAGGCTTCCCTGAAGAGATAGGTTATCAGAGATCGCCTAAAAGTGGGCAGAGTAGGCGATAGTCTGATAAATTGGGGTAGAGAGTTCCAGAGGATGAGGGAGGTTCTGGAGAAGTCCTGGATACGAGCATGGGAGGAGGAGACAAGGGAGCTAGAGAGCAGCCACATGGAAGAAAAATATATTTGAAATACTAGAATTTTTGCTATATTCAATATATTTCAAAATATATTTCAATAAATATATATATATACAATGTATGTTGAAAAGCATTTTACAATATATTGGGACACAATACAGCAAAAATACAGTTCAATACAAGAGGGTTAGGAGGGCCCTTCTCCTTGGAGCTTACAATCTAGGAGGGAGGGGCTTGTGGTAAAAAAGGTAATAACTGTGGGGGATGGACTGGTAGGAGGAATAGAAGATTCCGTTATTAGCTGAAGGCAGGATAGGCTTCCCTGAAGAGATAGGTTTACAGAGATCGCCTAAAAGTGGGCAGAGTAGGCGATAGTCTGATAAAATGGGGTAGAGTTTTCCAGAGGATGGGGGAGGCTCTGGAGAAGTCCTGGAGACGAGCATGGGAGGAGGAGACAAGGGAGCTAGAGAGCACCCACATGACATTTTTGTTCCATATACAATGTATGTTGATGGGGGAGCAGTTCTACAAGAGGGAGAAGTTCTGGAGATCGAGCACTGTGAGGGAGGACTGGTTGGAAGGAGATTCCATTATTAGCTGACAAGGGAGGCTTCCCTGAAGAGATAGGTTTAGAGAGCAGTGGGCAGAGTAGGCCCTGATAACATGGGGAGAGTTTTCCAGAGGATTGGGGAGGCTCTAGAGAAGTCCTGGAGACGAGCATGGGAGGAGGAGACAAGGGAGCTAGAGAGCACCCACATGAGAGTTCCAGAGGATGGGGGAGGCTCTGGAAGAAGTCCTGGAGACGAGCATGGGAGGAGGAGACAAGGGATCTATAGATGGGGGGGCAGTCCCAGCATGAGAGATTCTAGAAGATGGGGGAAGCTCAAGGTAACAGCTTAGGCACAATTAACATTTCTAGATGTTCTCCATAAGATATCAAATCTTCATATTTTGCGCATTTTCGTCCCCTTTAAGTCAGGTGTATGTGCGTACATATTAAAAAATGTAAAAAGCTAATAATTTCCCATTTAAATGTGTATAACTCCATTAATTTGCTCGGATGTAGCCCGCAGGGGTACAGTCCATTGTTCTCCTCTGTTATCCTTCCTAAGTGAGTCAATGGCAAGTATTGTGACTTCTTTTTTCTCCTTTTATATTCCGTGTCCTAGCAGCAACATAGAATATATTGTGGCAATATTACCCGACTCATAATGAGCAGAGTATGCTGATATATGCCTCGCAGGGTTTTTTTTTTTCCTCTGTAATTATATCGGGAAAACATTAAGCAAGGATAGTCACTTTTTCATAACCAGTCTGACAGTCTATTATCACTTAATGACCGCTATAATTAATGAACACATTTGTTAAGTGAATTGGCTTGAGGTCAATCTCATTAATTAGCTTAAGGGACAATTTGAGAGGCGAAATTGCGTTTTGTGCGTAAAATAAACATGTATGATTAAACATATTTAAACAGTGGGAGCTAGCGAGGCTTTCTGGCAAAATCAGCATTTTACTGGGCGATGCGGATGAAGGCGGTGCGGACCGACAGTAATTAAAATTTTATAACGGTGATAAAACTAATTTTGGTAGAAGCCCAATAGAGCTTCATCCAAACAGTCGTCTTTGCTCTGCAGTGTACAAAGTGCTCCTACACAGCGAGATAGAATCTGTCTACCTCAAAGCCATAGAGCTTGGCAACGGGAAACATACCATCTTGATCTGTCCTTCACCCGGGTGGCTGGGGAAGTCGGAGGAGGACTTTGCTTGAGGGAACTTCACTGCTATGCAGTCAAAGAGTTCTCCACTTTAAGTCATTAGTGCTTTTAAAGAACAAACTCAACCAAAGATGGACTTACCTTGTCGTAGATTTACATGTTCTTATACCTCCCAGCTTTCTGAGAGACACCTTTCAGCAAACAATTTGTAGGCATAAGGGCGTTCCACTCTTCAAAAATTGCATAAGAAGCCTTGTATTGTTACCAATTTAAACTCCAGCCCTTAATCACTTTTTTCTATTGTTAC